TAGTATATATATATATATATATATATATATATAATTTAAGTGCTATTTGCCATTGACCTATTTTACTTGCATTTCTCGAGTAAGTTTTTTAAATGAAAACCCATGAATTTTATAATGAAATAAATATTTCATTTCATTAGCTACAGTATGAAATGAAAATTACATGCATAAAAATATTTGCATTAACGACTGAGCTGAAGCAGTAGCAGGCATCATTGCACTTGCAGAGCAAAGCTTCCATGTACTGTGTAAAATGTCCTTTATTTCACCACAGCCATGAGAATCCTGTTTCCTATTATATGCCCCCTTCAATAAATATTGATAAATGGAGCTGAGCAAGTCTCGTTGAACCTCGCCGTAACGATATATAAGCCTGATTCTGCTCTATATTGTGCACATACTGTGTCCATTCGCTTCATTCCTGGTGACTGTGCTCGCCGAGGTACTGGAGAGTTTGGGGAGAGAGGGAGGGAAACGGGTCAACCGCGGGCTTTTTGATGACTTCTTTTGGACTCAGATTAGAGAGCTCTGCTTTAGGGGGGTGCATTTTTCCAGAAGTTCGAGGGCCAAGTCTGAAAGGGGGGGCGCATTAGAGAGAGAGGAGCAGAACCGAAGCGAGGGGGAGAGGGAGACGGAGATGAAGGGTGCAAGTTTGGAGAGGAGATGACATTTTTGTGACCAGGGAAACAGATAGTTAGAAATAGAAACAAAAAATATCAAAAAATATTTTACAATAATTGAATAGTGTGTGTGTGTGTGTGTGTGTGTGTGTGTGTGTGTGTGTGTGCGCGCGCGCATTTATTTATATATGAATGAAGTATATATATACTGTATATAAACATATGCATACACACACAAACACTTTATTTTATTTATTTATTTTAATCATATTAGAATGATTTATGTGACACTGAAGGCCATCACAGAAATAAATAATATTTTAAAATATATTCTAATACAAAACAGTTATTTTAAGTTCATATAAAAGTAATAATATTTCACAATATACTTTTTTTACCGTTT